AACCTCTTCTATAGAAGAGGTTAGAACTGGCAGGAACCCACCCCTGCATTGCAGCATCCCCATGATCAAGTAATCAAAATTCGGCCACTTGGCCACTGGCATTCATTTATGATTATTATGATGGTAATCATCTTTTGCAACCTTCGGCTAAGAAAAGTAAATGGAGAAGCCAGATTCACTTAACAGCCATGTTAATAACTTAATAACTGCAATGATTCACTTAACAACTATGGTAGGAAAGGTCATAAAATGGAACAAAATGTATCGTATTTAAACAATTGTCTTGCTTAGCAACAGATTTTTTTTTATTTTTTACTTTTAGTATTAAATTTTATCTTATTCAAAAATTTAAACTACAAACCCTGAGTATAAATGATAACATCACAAAACCACAATTGACAAAAGTGAGTAAATGAATCTAGTTAATAATTCATAGTGGCAGCAATCCACAATAGTTGAAACCCCAAATCTCAAGGAAAGAAGATGGTTTAAACTTCCCTCCTAAATGGCAACAAAGAACAGGTTATCCTCATAGACTTTTCCACAATTCTGGGTTAGTCACAGAAAAAGTAAGTTTGCTGAACTCCATTGTATTGCTTCATGGAGTGTGAAGATGCACACCATGCTTCTCAACTCACACAAATGGGATGGGCAAATTTTTATCTAGAGAAGATGTTCCCAGATATAATTCTGAGTCAGAATGAGTTGCACAGCTCACTTGATGAACTTGGGGTTCATCAAGTTATTGACAATAACTTGCTTTTCTATTAACTCTATTGTATGACTTGAAACTATGACAATTTCAGCAACACAGTTCTTCTCACACAGTAAAAAAAGAAAAGAAAAATATTGAGGCAGTTAGTACATTGTAAAGATAACACTCATGGGAATGCTGAAAAATAGATAGAAAAATCATTATTTAATATTTCAGTTGCCTCTTAAAAACCCATTCTTTAATAGACTCCAAGCCCATTTAACTGTCAACATAAGTGGAATTCTTACTTCACTGTGTTAATTTTTTTGTATAGAACTGCACCATGCAATTGATAGGGCAATTTGCTTGACTACAATGGAAAAAATACCTTTATTGAACCATATCATTCACATAAATGTTTGCATAAGCTTGGCCACAAGAACATTATTGTTTCAGTATCAATGGGGAACAGGGAAAACATTTTGTGCACAAACTGTTCTATATGTAGAAGAGCTATTTTTAGGTGTTCTGTATTTGAAGCAAATTGAGTGTTTCGGATATATTGATTCATACTTGGAATATGATAGAGTAGTTTTGTTCAGGTAGAAATGGATAGAAATGCAATTGTTTCAAATAGAAGGGTTTTGGGACAGGAAGAGAACAAAGAAGATCCAAAAATGTTAGCAGTTGAGGAATAACATGTCATAGACCCAGGATGGTGAGCCTATGGCACGCGTGCCACAGGTGGCACACGGAGCCATTTGTCAGGGCACGCGAGACATTGCCCTGTCAGCTGGAAGGCCCCTGAATGATCCGGAGGGCTTAAACCGGCCCTATGAGCAAACCGGAAGTCTGTTCCTGAACTTCCTATTTGCCTGTAGGGCCATTTTTTTGCACTCCAGAGGCTTCAGGGAAACTCCTGAAGTCTCCAGAGGGCCTTGGTGGGGGGGGGGGGGGGGGGTGTTTTTCCCCCCCCCCGGGCCCCTT